TACTATTAATGTTATTATTTTATATATTTAACTAAAAGTTTTTTATGGTTATTTTAAGCATCTCGTCTGTCATATGTGATTTATATGCATTGTTTTAAATTATTGTTTAATGTATTAATCATACATTAATCGTGCTAAGAACAATAAAAGGAAATATTTGTATGAATAATAAATGTTTTTCGATAGTTAAAAACAGTTTATAATTAAAAAATTCAAAATACATTTTGACCTTTTTTTCTATAAATTACATACACTAGAATATCAAAAAAATTATTTTAATTATATATATATATTTTATTTTAAATACTAAAATATTGCAAGAAAAACTCACGTTTTAATTTTGTTTAAGTCTCGAGGCATTAAAGCAATAATTTTAGAAACATTGTTTTTGTAAATATTTCCGCAAAGGTCGAAAACATATGTAAATAGCACATACTAGTGATGGGCATTTTCGAATATTTTAAATTATCGAATAACTATTCGACTTGTTTTTATACAATCGAATAGTTTGTTTTTAGCATAAACTATTCGAATGGACTAGCGAATGGTTTCAAAAAATATTAGATTAGTGCTATTTAAAATTTTTATTAAGTACACTTAATTATAATAAGAAGATAATCAACGAATACTTAAAATAAATTATTATACAATTTTTAATAGTAAAAAGTACCATTTTACTAGTATTTCAGAAGTTATTGCATTTTAAACAATGAACTGGGGTGAGTCGCAGGTATATATTAGGGTGGCTCTTATTTTATTAACTTTTATTGATCGATCTCCATACCCGCCAATATTGTTTTTTATTATATGAAAGTTTGTGTAAAATTTGGTTTTGATAACTTACCCTTTCAGGTCCGAATCGGTGTTGAAAATTCGCTCAAATAGGTAATTTTTCAGTTTTTAATTATTATTTTGAAAACTAACCCACTTAGCGTAACAATGTATAGAATATAAATTATAGATTTTAATATTTCCTTCTAAAATAGTATTTACAAAAATTTTCTAAAATTATTTTTACTTGTTCAAAAAAATAAAATAAAAAATAATTTGCTAAAATTCATTTTTTGAATATAAGTCATTCTTAATTTTCAGAATAATCATTTTACAAAAAAATGTTTCGTAAAAAAAATATGTTAAGTTAAATTTTCTAAAATATTGCTCTTATGTAAAATTATAGTTAAATTTATAGTTTTGCTGTTTTAATAACACAAACGATTTAAATAGGATTGTTTAAAACTGTTTATTCAGGTTACTACGATTATAAATAGGATACAATTAATAATAAAAAAAATTAGTGTTGGGCATTTTCAAATATTTTAAACTATCGATTAACTATTCGAATTGTGTTTACACCGTCGAATATTTTATTTTTAGCATAAATTATCAAATATTTTTAACACTATTCGAATGGAGGTACCGAATAGTTTTAAAAACTATTTGAATAAACTATCGAATATTTTTACTATTAGAATAGTTTTTGAATGACTATTGACTAGTTCGAATAGTTACTATTTGATATTTCCCATCACTAGCACATACATCCACATATATCAACACATTAATCTGTATTTAATGTATTCTCGTGTAATATTTAGTTTTGATAGTATTTTTAGTGTAAGTAAAATTAAAAAAATTATAGTAAAATGAGTTTAAAGTATTATATCTGAACAAGAATGATGTTATTAATGCTGCAGCAGCTTGTATAATTTTCAACATCTCACACCAAGCTATTTTTTTTTTAAATTTATTTTTGTAATCAACTAATTTTGTATACCACATTTCGTTTCTTTCGTGGTATAAATCAATAAGCTGAAGTACATTTTCTTTTGCCAATTCCATAGTTAAATAATAAACAAATACACAATTTGCATATAAACAAAAATTTAATTAAACTAAATAATGTAAATGCGTTTAAGTGAATTGCGTGCACGACGAACTGATAAAATTGTTTACAAATTATGTCACAAATCAAAGTCCACGTTGGATACATTGTTGTTGACAAAATATATAAACTTTTATTGAAGTTTACCGCCTCTGACTAGGAAACATAATATTGTCGGTAACAGTGTCTATAAAATTGATGGAGACAAAAGCTAAAGAACATAAACAATTATTTGTTGATGACAATGTCGATAACTTTTGTTTTCAACATTGTTTCTTAGGTTTGGACCGACCTTAACATAAACTGTTTTTATATAGGTACATATTTTTCAAAATAATTAATTTAATCAATTAAATTAATATATAATAATTAATAATTATTATATATAATATATAATTAATAAATCAATAAATTAATTAATCAATTTTTCATATGTAATTATGTAAAAATATCATTATTGGTGTACAATAGTTTAATACCATCACTATTATTAAGATACAGTACAATATAATACAATTATGAAATTATATTTAATCTATATCGGTTACATTTTGTTTTAGTTTTAATAATCCAGTTATTTTTTGGATAAATGAGAAGCCTTAATGATCTATATAAGTAAATATTGATTAGGGTGAAACAAAATAAATAATTTTTTTTAAGCCTGTCACCAAATAATAATTAGCTCAACAATTAAAAAAATGTGTACACATATTTTTTTGTATACATCAGATATATATTCTGAAAAACTTAAAAAAAAATTGTTTAACTTATTAATTTTACACAAATATATAAGTATTTTAAAGAACAAGTTTGTTTTATAAAAACAAATATACTAAGAAAGCTATCTACTGTTTTTAAAATATAATATTAATTTAATATCATATCAAAACCGTTAGATCGCGCGCATTTATTTACCCTACTAAAATGATTTAATTTTCAATAATCTACTATATATACAAGATATGTATTATATACATTTTATTTTATGATATAACGAAAGGATATATTCTTTTAAAAAAAATAATGTGTATAAATTCATTGAGACTAATTAATCAAACTTGAAAATTATATGAATATTTATTGTAAATTTATAAAGAAAAATTATTATTTTACTTGATTAATAATCACATGATAACAAGAATATCAAAAATTTTCTAATAATTATATTAGTTCTTCAAAGACTAAAATGAATAAACCTCCCAAAAAATGCTTTAATGTTAATGTATTCGAAAATTTAAAAAATGTAAAATATAATAAAAAGTCAAAAAGAATACTTTTAGGAAAATTCCTGTATATTCTAAAAAAAAAATCATTAAGGTAATTTTACATAACTATTGGTGTTTTACTAAAAAAATTATAAATTAAAATATTTCCTTAATATTAGATAATAAGATCAATATTATTAATCTTCATATTTTTTGCTTATATAATAAACAGCCTATTTATAGAAACTATCTAAATTATAAATTAATAAAAATTTCTATTTTTTTAAAATTTTTTGAACAATTTTTAACACAAACAAAACATACTTTTGAAATTTTGTTAGTATGTTATAAACATTTTATGCTTTGTTATAATTCTGATTTATATGAAATAGTAAACTTGAACTTTTTTGTTTTCGAACTACAATATAAAAAGTATTTTTAAAAGTTTATTTGAGTTTTTTATAACTAGGTCGAATTTGAGCTTAATGCATTTTAAAGATTATTAATAGCGAAAAGTTTCTTATCAATTCTTTATTGATTTCTTAAAAATAATTCTTTGAGTGAAATGAGTCGGTGTTCGAGAAACACAGGAAGTAAAATATTTACAAAAACGATGAATGTGAATAAAACTTATGTTTTATGTTTGAATTATTATATATTTTAAACATTTTATGTAGGTATTGGAAAGTTTGTTATTGATATTGTTTTATAAGCATATTTTAAATATAATTAGTTCGTAAAATTCAACAATAATGTAATAATTATATTTGTTTTGCAATTATTTCAAAACGTTTTGTTTTTCCGTTTTTAAGTGATACAAATTGATTTTTACTTCTATTGCGTTCTTTTGAAATCGTTTTTTTATTACATTAATCTAAATTGTAACACGATAAAATTACAAAATATATTGGTATTATTACATTTCTAAAAAGTGGTAAATAATGTATTTATGTTTATTCATTTTTTTTATTTTTTCTGTTTATTTACGGAAGCATGTTTTTCTAAGAAATTTTTTGTTATCAATAAATTTTACGAGATTGCAATTAAAATTTAATCATAATTAATTATTTATTTATCTAAAATTATTTATTCAAAGCACGTGAGTAATATAATGTTTCAGGTCCTACAATGTTTTATTTTTATAATAAAAATCCCTTAACTTGGTAAACTAGTTTTAAAATCATTTTCTTGAGCATTATGAACGTTGTGTACCATAAATTAAAAGTTATATCTCCATGATGAACATTTTATTCTAACGAAAAAAAAATTGAGTGTTTAATAATATTGAAACTGTTAATAAAATTAAGAGAAAAATCAGAAATACTTAGATGAGTATAAATTTCAATATTGACATAAGTAATATTTGACGTTAGACAGAGCTGTAATAATAGAAATTGTGAGAGAATAAATTCTAGCATGAAAAAAATTACATAGTAATGATGTAATTTTAATTAAATTTGGAGCATAGTAAATACTTTTCTGGTACACGTTCCTTCAAAACATTCTACTAATTTCGCCACTATCGTTTATTAATCAAGAAAAATTGTTTTTAAAAGTTTAAAGTTCACAAATTGTTGTTTTAAATAATAATTATTTATAAATTCATTAATTGGTTCAAGAGCTGTAATAATGTAAAAACGTGTTATAATAATAACGTATTCTTTAGAGTAAACAGTTTAAATTATAAGCGGCGTTTTGTTTTAATTTTGTTAAAAAAAACACTTTGTTTACTTTTTATTTCTATTAAAGTGATAAATACTTTAAGCCATTTTTCTGGTTACGCATTTCACGCTAGCCTTGATCTTATAGTTTTTAATTATAATTTTATATTATCACGTACTTTGTGCATCTTATTTTAAAACAACAATTTCTATGGTTATTTTTCTTGAAATTTTCTATAAATAATTGCAGCATGTAAAATAGGTATTAATCTAAAGTTGTCTATTATAACAGAGTGTTTCTGTATGTAAAAGTAAATAAAAAATGAGTAATTTAAATGTTTTTGTGTTTTACTCAACTTTTTTATTTTTAATCCTGAACTTGACCAATTGTAATGTAGTCAAGAAATTTAGTGACATAAGCGACATGGATGATGAAGAACAATCAAATGTTACCAATAATTTATCTGTGACTTCTCCTCCTGCTCGACAAGTAGAACATCACGGTGAGTTGATTTTTTTGTATTTTATTCTAATTAAATTAAATTAAATTTGTTTTTATTTGAACGTAATAGTTATGACTTTATTTTCATAAAGGTTATTGGAATTATATTTTATATTAAAAAATTCAGTAATCCAAATAATAAATACTAATTGTATTTTTTATAGCATCGTCTAATATCAAGTGTACTGACCGAAATACGGGTAAGAGATACAATATTGGAGTTTCCTGGTATTCGGATGGCTGTGGAAAAAGTACTTGTACTTTAACAGATGAATCCCATTCTTTAGTAGTTACAGAAAAGTAAGTAAATTTTTTCTTGTTGCTATTTAAAAAAAAATGTATGTGTGGTTTGATTAAAATTATGATTATAACTTATTTAATGAAAATTATAAATGTATCAAGTTGAACTAAGTTTATACATTGACAAATATTCAATTAATATTATTCGGGTTGTAATAATTGTTTTTTACAAAATATTTTAGTAAGAACAACAGACTAAAAAGGGAAATTTTTTTTTTAATTTCAAATATATTTTAAAGTTCCTACGAATGTTATAATTAAATAATTATGGACAGTTATGTAATCATAACTATCCGTTTCAGAATAATCCAGTTTATTAAAATTGTTTATAATAGAATTATGGGTTAAATTTCTAGCTGTTACTGTAAGACTTGTCCAAAAGGCATGCATTGTTCTGTTGTCCGCCGAGCTTCATCGAATATTTCCCAGTATCCAGATTGTTGTCCTACGACTATTTGTTTACCAGACCAACCAAGTCAATACCTCTGGAAAAAATTTGGAACTTGGAGACATTGGATTCACTTATAACTACGAAAAAATGAATTTTAGTACTATTGTGGGTAAAATTTATTTTATTTTTAAGATTATGTATATTATATTAAAACATCACCTGTAAATATTATTACATTAACTTTGTGATCAAACATATTTTAATTGTTTATAGTGTATAATAACTTAGATTAAAGAAATTTAATTGTTGTAATTAGACACAACAATGTCATATTACTATTAGAATTTTACAATTTTGTACGATTTATTTAAATGTTTTAATTTTTTTATCTTGTAAGGTTTAAAAAAATGTTAATAAATTGATCGAGTGAAAATATTTTCGCGCGCCTTTGAGTTATGAGTGAACATGTGCGCGTCCACTGGTAGTAACTGTACTTCCTAGACACTTCTTGTTATATTTCACAAATTAATCTGTATTATTACTGATTATATGAAAAATGTTCTAAAGGTAACATTGTTACTTATTTTTATTTCGTTAAGTTTTATTTGTAATAAAATTATCAAAGTTCTTTCTGTCTAAACGGGACTTATGATTGCCACATATACTGGATCAGGATATAGTAAAAAAAACAAAACAAAAATGTACATAGTGCTCTTTGCGAGAAATTATATACTCTTGTTCATTTGTGGTCCAAGTTTGATTTCAAAAATAATGTATTTCCAGTGAATTTTTATGAGGTAGTTTTTGGATTTTATTGAGTCATGTTTGAATTCGTTTTACGGTGTCTATAAAATCCCATTGATAACATTGAGAAGTCGAGACCCAAAATATATTAATGATTTTACGAGATGTTTAAAATACTTGTTAATAAAAAACAGTAGGTGCGATTAAATCTCAGTACATCTACAGACTATAAGAAAATAGTATGTGGGGGACATTTGTACAATATTCGTTAACAAATAAACGCCATATCTGAATTTCGTTGTATTTAATGAATTGTTACTTTTATGGACATTTCAATTTCACTGTTTACATATCGTCAATTTTAAACATCTTCTAAACAGATTACAATCATTTTACATATTTTACATAATTTTCATCAGAGGTTCACACCCTCTGTAAACTCTATAATAATAATTTCTGGTATGTAACCATTTGAATTTGAAGGATTACGATCTACTTTTATTGGAATGGATTTACACAAGTAAGAAATTATGAAAACCTTATNTACGATCTACTTTTATTGGAATGGATTTACACAAGTAAGAAATTATGAAATGTTTAGAACATTTAAGTAAATGGAATGTAGTCATTATTGTTGTTGATAGCCGCTGTACTTAAACATTTACGAACCGTAGTTCTTGAGTTCACTGTATTTTTAAAATATTTTTATTTTGTTTTGATATTGATTGTACTTGAATTAATAAAACTTCATTTCCTATGGAAATAAATAGGATATATATTTTTTGAAATAGATTACACCTCCACCACCTTGTGAAGCAGGTGTATTTCAACCCCAGGTGATCAAGGTTGAAGCGTCGCAGCGTCGTTTAGTAGAAACCTTCATTACAAATAGTCATTTGGAAATAGGCACAATAAAAATTAATGGTATTATAAATGTCAGTAAAACGCTAACTAATTTAATTCAGTACCAATATTCAAGTTATTTTAATATACATTAAACAAGTCGGCTGCAGGTGAGACTTACATGGCGTGTATACCACCGCGGGGGTCCTAATTTGACAAATTTCACCTATATATGTTATTTGGGATTAAGATAAAATATAGGAAGAGAAAAAAATACTTAACTTTATACATAAACTTCTATAATAATGAAAAAAAATTCTCTTGAGTTTAATAATTATCGTTACAAATAGTTCGTGGATGATGTCATTTTAGAATAAAATTATTTTGACAATATAATTATTATGAACGAAATAAATAATAATTGTATAAAGTGAAACCAATAATCAATTTTCAAAGAAAATAATTTTAAATATAAATTAGTCTGATGATTAATTATGATCTTAGAAGATATTAATGTTATTATTGTATATTTATATTTTTAAGAACTACAAATGAAAAAAAAATAATGTAAGATATGAAAAATTTTAATCGTAATAGTTTATAAAGCTTCATATCTTATAGAATAAAATAAAATGTCGATATATCGCTTTATATTTATCAACATTCTTAATTATTAAGTTAAACTTGTTAGCGTTTATTTTGTTCTATTATCTGAATATTTTTACTAGAAACATTAGATTAAAGATAACAATTTTAACGAGCAATTTAACATTAAATTTTTTATCTAATTGTATAGTTTACATGTATAACACAACTTAATTATAGGTATGTAATTGAATATTAAAAATTCTGTTTTCGGTGTAAATTTTGTTATACAATTAAAAAAACATTAGCCAAAAAAAGGGTTATATGCAAATTAAGTAGTTTTTATAAATACGACATTGATTATGCAAAAGAATAAAATAGTTCTTTTTTTAAAATTGACCATTAACAGCTGTTAGTTAATTAATAATCCGTGCACACGCCCCATACAAGATCTCGAACGCTATAATGTAATTCATACTAATATTTTTATAGTATTAGTATACAGAGTGATTGTATAACTCACATAATATCTTTAAAAATATAAAATACGATTTTTTTTGTTTTTTGGAAGTCAATAGTATCATACGTTGTATAATTTTCAAAAAAAAAAACAAAAAAATGTTTTACCCATTTCTTTCTATCGTAAATATATTAGCATTTCTATAATAAGTCGAAAGAAGTAGTGCGGTTCATTAAATCTTAAAGATAAAAATAAAAAGACTCACACTTCACATTTGGACTTTATAATAAAGATTTAATAACTTGCAAAATTCAAGTCTAAAAGTTGTTATTGGCTAGTCATTTTCTAGCTTGTAAGCTGATTAAACATGTTTTCAATTAAAAAACTTTTGTAGATCAAATTTTAGAGGGGAAAGAGAGGGGTGTGAATTTCAATTGTAGAACGCAGGATGCTATTAACGCCGATAAGAAAAAAAATCATATTTATATTTTTAAAGATAGTGTGTTAGTCATAGTTACAATCGTTCTGTATACTTTTACATATATGTTGGTAGCTATGAGAACGGAAAAACTTTAATTTAAAAAAGTGTATTAATAATTTTATATAATTTATACCGGTACTTTTCCAAAAAGTTATTTCACGGTGTTTGTTTTTTTTAATTCTCTGCGACGTCTTTAACTTATATATTTCAAGTATAAAACGGGACCTGTGTCCGGAAGCGAATAATTAAATCGTTTCGAATCGCGGTGTTTCGTTTCTGTGTTATTAAATATTTATATAATTTATGTCTTAATAATAACAATAATTTTATATTGCATTAATGTAACCTACACGGTTGAGAAGTTCATTGAATATACTTTACACGAATGTGTCTGCATTTAAAATTTCATTAATTTTTTCACACAATAATTATGCGTGTTTGCTATAATATTATTACCACCATGATAATTAATATTTTTTCGTTTTAATGTTTGCGAGTATATCTTTTTGTCGATACTATTAATTACTATTAATACAGACAATAGAATAAATGCATAACTTTCTTTTGGATGAGAGTTAAAAATTGATTTTTTTTCTTTAGTTATTTAAACACTCTTAATTGCATCAAATGTTACAAATTTTCATCGAATTTACAACTTTCTTAATTTAGTCTACTAATACACCTAAATTTTTTTAAATTCTTAAAAAGTTAGTAACTATTTGAAACTTAAACCGAATTGAATATTGAACTAATTTTTGTACTCGATCCAAAACTTTATATGTTCCTTTTCAATTATCAAACTTATATTATCCTTGTTAATTAAATTAACTTTTATTGACTTATCACTATTTAATATTTATTATTTAGTTTTTTGTACACACTTTTATAGATATAATTGCCCTAAAATAGTACCATACTAGTGTTGTATAACAAAATTAAGTTACTAATACAGTAGTAAGTATAAGAGAAAAAATCAGTACTGTTTGTAGGGAGTAAATGAAGCAAATTTTTTTATATATATGTAAATCATCTATTCGTCTCTCTGTGAATTTTTGAAATATTAGAATTTGATGATTTAAAAAAGGCGAGGAGTTTGATAAAGTTTAGTGACGCTCTATTTTAACCGTAACGTATATATGAAATTCTTCTACGTTGCGTCAATAACTAAAAATTATAATAATTTTAAAAGTATCAGTACAAAACTAGTTATCGACCAATAAAATTTTTATTTAGATCATTCCACATTTATTAGTAAAAAAAAGTAATAGGTTCCCGTTTAAATTTTTAAAATTACCCCTAAAATTTACTTTTAGGAATAATTTTTTTACAACAAACTTGATATTTATAATGTTTACAAAAATATAATAAAATTTTAATTTATACATTTTTATGAAAAAAATCATTATTTAACGAAAAGAGGGTGAGTAGTACACTTTATAAACCACACTGTATATATTTATGCAAAGAAACTAATACGAGCATACATGATTAAAAAATTGGGTAGTGGTAAACAATAGATGTTGTTTGGCTATTGCCTGATTTCTTGTACACATTTTAAATGGATATTTTAAAGGAAATGTTTTATAGCTTAAACTGGTGATAGTACTAGTTAACCACTATAAAAATGTTTATTAAGGTAATAAAAAAATATATTAATATTAAAAAAAAAAAAAAAAAACTATTACCGTAAATATGCTATAGCTGACAATGTAGTGTAAATCCGCTCTTTAAGTATTATTAAACTTTAATTATTATTGTTCCTTTAGAAATTATATCGTTAAACAATTTTATTAACAGAAAAAATAATAAAGAAATTAGATTGTTTATTATAATTGTTTAATAAGTTACAATGTAGTATAATGATAAATTTTCATTCATAATTCGTATTTGTTTTTTTACTATTAATATCTTAATATCAATCAACTACTCTTAGGATCTTAGTCTATTATTTTTCTATATCTATAAGTAAATTGTTTACTTAGATTTTTTAGTCCCATTTGATGATTGATTTTTTCATTTTTGGAATTTATTTATATACGATACGTACAGTGTTGGTTTAGCATAGGAAGTTAGAGCTCGATTGCGCCCCCCTCTTAAGTTATAGACCTCTTGTCTTGTAGTACAATCCGGAGACCTCTGGGAAATCGCTTGCAGGATCTCAGTGTTTCAGGCCGACTCTGGAATATGTGTAATTATTCTCATACGAATCTCAAATCTATTTTATTAAGTGTACTCTGAAACTGTTGAAAACTTTGCCGCACAGTGCATTGCCATAGATATATAAGATTTGGCTATAGTTTTATAGCTGAAATTTTTGCTTTATACCTTATACTTGCCTTGCATAAGAACACTTGCCTTTCATTACTTGTATAATTTTATTTCCATTATATTATATTATAATTTCCAAACTTGAAGTAATATAAATACAAACTCAGATTTATTATAAATATACCTGTAT